ACCAGAATCACTAATTAATCATTTTGGCCTCTTTTAAGGATAGTATACTTTGTGATCACTGCTTGCCCATAACCTGAATACCTCTCCATGGACCAAGAGAGGATGACAGTGGAAAGAGGGGACCTCAGGCTCAGAACCACACGGAGATGTGTTCAAATCCCAGCATGCCGTTTGCCAGTTTTATGAGCCTGGCCAAGTCACCTAATCCTTCCATTTCCAAGCCTGATGTTGGCCAGAACCCTGGAATGAAAAGATGTTAATAACAACAAAGACTGTGAAGTCAGTGATCCACACACGGGCCACTTAAAGTGTGTTGGGCACCTTGTCATGCCCTGTGCATGGCAAGTCCTTCCAGCCCCAACACGACCCATTGAGGTCGACGCTTCTTCCCATTTACAGTTGAGAAGTCAGATCCATAAGCACCAGTGACCCTTCACGGGGGCTCTGCCTTGCAGTTAGATCCCAGTCTCATTCCATCTTTGCAGCAACTCACTACTGGTCCATTATCATACCCATTTTCTAGACAAGACCAATGAGGTTCAGGAGGGCAAAGGGTTTGGACGTACTCTCCAAGCTTGTAGATACAAGAGACGGGGCTTTTAGGCCTCTTTTCCCCCAAGCCCCTAACTTCTGCGGCACTCAGGAGAAACGGCAGAACCATCAGCCTGGGGGGGGGGGAGGAAACTGAGCATGTGCTGACCAGACCAGGGAGGCCCAGTCCTCCCCAGGACCAGGCCAGGGATCCGGTTGCAGGGAAACGCTTTGAAGCAGGACAAGCCCAGGGGACGTGGACATTGCTCATTCTGAAGTCATGGCGACTGTCTGAGCAGCTGTGATCAATACGCTCTGCCCTCCCCACATGTGGCCAGGAGGTCATAAAGAGAAGTCTCCAAGGAGACAGATAAAAGTTGTGCCAACATCTTGCCTGGGACGAACCGCGGCCGTCACCAGAGCACCCAGGGCCACCCCCGTCCTTGGAGGCAGGGAGGAGAGGTGCTGGGCACCGGGGATTCCCTTGGAGGACTTCGAGGTGGGCTCAGCTGGGGTTCAGCCTCCTCGTCACCCACTGCAGAGGCCTGAAGAGTAAGGATAGGGCCTCAGCGACCTGGGCTCTCTGGAGGGAGAGGCGAGCGCGGGCGCCACTCACATGTGCGATTCTTTGGCTTGAAATGAGCACGCTCTGCAGGGCAGGGGAGGGCAGGCCCAGTTGGTTCCCATTAAACTTGGTGGCTCCGTGCCGGCCCCAGCCGCATCCTGGAGGCCAGAGCCTCTGAGGAAGCCTGAGAATGTCCCCCGCTCCTCTGGCCACCGATGCAGGGGACCCCTGTGTCTCTAAAGGGCCTCAAGAGAAAGAAGTCTCCAGAAGTCTCCCTCCGGGTGGCTGGGCCTCCCATCTGCCCCCTTCTCCAAGGCCCCTAATTAGGTATTTACATGACAGACCAATTAAGTGGTTACAGGCTATTGGGTAATTAGTGACATTTTTAACATACATTTTCAACCACACAAAACCATGTTTACACAATGTCAAGGAACTGGCTTCAAACCACAGAAGGGAAAATCACTTCGCCGAGGCACAGGAGGGCTGGCCCCGGAGGGCAGAGGGCAGACATCTTCTCTTTGAAGCACCGGTCACCAGTTTGGTTGATCGGCTCTGGGGCCAGACAAATAGTTTTTCTGGCTGAGGACCTACTATGTGCCAGGCTCTGCCCTGGGGGGTTGGGAGTCTCCTGAAGGCGGTCTCAATTCCCAGGGGCAGGATGATATGTGTCGCATGAATCTTTGTCTGTGCATACATATGCTCAGTAATTCACTCAACAAACACTGGTTGAGGGCCCACTATGTACTATAAAGAGAAGGCAAGGCCTATTCTCTTGAAGATTCCTGATTCTGGATCCCCATGGGACTCTCGGCATCCTCATGCCGCCATGTCTGCCTCTTCTGAGTCTAGAATGTTCCATGCACTCCCTAGACTGAGAAGATTCAGAGAGGTGTGGATCTAGGTACTCCCCTAACCCCCAGTCCCCGCCTGGCTCTCTTGTGTTATTCTCCTCTTTCATTTATTCGTAAATACGCTGAGCTCCGATTCTGCATTAGTGAGCACTCGCTGGGTGCCAGGCTCCGTCAAAAGCTTTCTATGGATTATCTCATTTAATTCCCCAGCAACCATGTGGAGCCATCCCTCACACAGACCCTATTTTACAGAGAGAACAGAGGCTCAGAGAGGTTAAGTCACCTGCCAAGGTTCACACAGCCTAGTAATGAAGGAAGCAGAATTCAAGCACAAGGAAAACCTGAGCTTATAACTGCTTTACTAGGCTAATTTCCACGTCTACCGCGGGCCCTGGGGTATTGGAATGCCTCGGGAAATGATGGGCACAGTTGGAGCCACCAGCATCATTACTTATATTTTTAATTCTAAGCGTCTCTTACAGCAGGGTCCTATAGAGTCCTTTGTGATTCCATTCCCCGTTAGATCTTTTTTTCTAACTCATTATGCTTCCAACACAAAGACTTCACACAGTGGCGCCAAATAATCGTTGCATTGCGTTCATTGCCCTGTGCTCTGGACTTCCACACAGTGGGGTGGACAGAAGCCACGAGGGTCCCCACTTTCCAGACACGACATGGAGGCCCAGGATGAACCCCACTGGCTTAACCGTGCACGGCTGGTATTCAGGCTCAATGTCACTTCCGCTGTCTCCACCTAAGCCTACGTGTGCATCGCTGCAGCCACGCTGACTGAACAGTGATTGACTGACTGAGCGGGACCAGGCCCTCTCTGTCCCCTCCTGGGCTACCTGAGCTTTGCCTGGGACGAGGCTGAGCTCAGCTGTGCAGCAGAAGAGAGCTCGCAGAGCAAAGGCCAGCTGCAGAGTGGCACTGTCTGCCACCAGCCGGTCCCAGAGGACCCAGAAGCCATCGGCAGCCCACGAAAGTCTCCAGGTGAACCAGAAAAGCCACCAAACTCCTGAGCTACACAAGCAGTTACTGTTGCAACCACGGAGTTTGGAGTCATTTACTCAGTAGCAAAATCTGATACAGCCACGCAGCTCCTCAGGGATACATGTAAACCTCAATTCCGTGTCACTTCCTGCTTCTTGTTCTTCCATGTGCATCTTCCAAATTCTCACCAGAGACTCAAGTCCCAGAGCGTCCCTCAACAGTGCACGCAGCCCTGTGTGGCCCACCTGCTCAGACTCCTTAATCAAATCATCATGTGCCAGCCTCCCGAGCACACTTTTTTGCTAAGCTCCCATGGAGCCCCTGGATGGCATATGAACAGAGACCTTAAGTAATCAAAGGAACCAGCCACCCAAAGAACCCTTGGGAAGGAACCCAGAGAGAGGAAACAGCATGTGCAAAGGCCCTGAGGTGGGAACAGATGCAGATCGTTAAAGAAGTGGAGAAGTTAATGGTGAGCCGGAGGAGGAGAGGAGGAGGATGAAGTCAAAGGATGGAGGTGAAGTCGGAGATAGACACGGGCAAGGCCAGGAAGGCCCCGGGAAGAGTCTCAGCTCGTTCTGAGTTGTGTTGGGCCAGCAGATCGTTCCCGTCTGAGGAGCTCCTGAGCCCAAACGCATATGGTTGCCGGAGCGCCTTGGCCCCGTCTCTGCGGAGCATCCCTAGCCTCTTCCCATCCTGTATCAATTAGGCCACTGATTCCATCGCTCCTGACTTCAAAGGGGGGGAAACGGTGGAGAATTTACAAAGGACAATAAACCCAGCCCGTAGCAGACGGCAAGCCCATAAATTCTGACCGACCCTTCAACTGCCCAGCACACAGCCCTCCCCGCCTCGCCACCAAAGTTCCCCCTTCATCCACAGCCAGCACAATAAAAATAAAAAATAAAGCCCATTATGAATCCCACACCACCTGGGAGAAAGCCCGGGCCATAACATGAGCCTCGATGAAGCCATCTTATCTGGGATGACCAGGGAAACCGACGGTGACCATCGAGATGGGTGGCTGGTCCTGGATGTCCAAGGACTCCTGTCTTTACCTCGGCTTACCCCCTCCATGGCCTGGTGCAAATCCTCCCCTCTTCAGCCTCTGTGTCCCCTCTTTGAACCAATAGGTTTGGATAACCTATAAGGACCTCTCTGTCCTATACTTCTGGGTGGGTGCGGAGATGCTGTGCTTCTTAAGGACCCCTAAGAATTCCTGGGGCAAAAGGGGTCCTTGGAAGTATGTAGAGGCAGAGAATTTGCAGGTGGCCTTACGAATTGGTAGAACTTCTGCGGAGGATGGCTGGGTAGTATGCATGAAGAATCCATTAAAAAAATAAAAGAAGAAAAATGGCACCAACACTTAGATCTGGGAATGATCACACCGCAAACAGAGGTGTATTTCACCCAGTGCCTCAGGAGGCTGAGGCAGGAGGATCTCGAGTTCAAAGCCAGCTTCGGCAAAAGCAAGTCACTAAGCAACTCAGTGAGTCCCTGTCTCTAAATAAAATAAAAAATAGGGCTGGGGATGTGGCTCAGTGGTCAAGTGCCCCTGAGTTCAATCCTCAGTACCCCCCCCCAAAAAAAGGGTGCATTTCAGTGGTTCTCAATGCGAATCAATTTTGCCCCTTGCAAGGGACATTATTTGCCAAAATCTAGAGATATCAAAGGAGGTACCACTGGCACTCAGTAAGCCAAGACTAGGGGTGCCAATTATCATCCTACAACCCCCACAACCAAGAACCATTTAGCCCAAAATGTCAAGAATGCCAAGGTTGAAAAACCCTGGCACAGAAAAAGGACAGTCACCCCAATATTGTTTCCAGAGGTATAAAATAAAATTGAACCAAATGAAAAAAAATATACCTGAATGCAAAATTAAAGGGAATGAGTTAAATTATACGTGTTCAAACCTCATCTTTATGTAATTGGAGCCATTGTATAAAGACGAGCAGTTTTGTGACGGACACCCTGGGCTTGGAGCCCAGCCTGCATCCTGTTGGAATCTCACCTCAGCCCCTGGGGCCTGCATGATGGTGGGCAAGTGGGTTTACCTTCTGGGTCTCGGTTTCCTTGTCTGGAAAAGGGCCGTGAGAGTCACACTGCTATGGGGTCTCCGTGCATCAGGTGGGGAGAATCTTGCACGCTGTTCCAGTTCATCTCCGGCCCCTATGACAGGTGGTTTGCAACCCAAAGGAAAAAAAGAAAAAGAAAAGAAAAGAATGAATCACAGAAAAGCAACCTTACCCAATAAGCCCGCAGCCCTCTGTACGACAATCACTCAGTGACAGCCCCAGACAGGGACTTGTTTCCCATTCCTCTAGGGATGTCCTGGGCTGAGCGTCTCCTATGCATGATCTCATTTTAGCCCGATCACAACCCTAAAAGACAGATTGAAGCCTCATTCCTATTTCACAGATGAAGACACTGAGGTTCTGAGAAGTAAAAAAAAAAAAAAAAAAAATGCCCCAGATCTTTCATGGATAAGGCAGTGGGGGGCGGTGAGATTCCACACCAGCTCTATTTGATGCTTGAGGCCCAGCTCTGGAGGCCTGGGCGATGCTCCTGAGAGACTTATATTATGCAGCTATTGATGGGCTCTATTTATCAAAGTTTACCAAGCCATGTAGGGAGAGAGTGGCTAAGGTATCCCAGGTTTAGTCCTGAAAGTCCACCATCCTGGGAGACCCTTCAGTCCCAGGCAAGCTGGGATGGCTGGTCACCCTCCTGGGGGTCAAGGATCCAGAGGCACCCAGGCCTGATGAGGGAGAGTGTAAGAGTGTGAACGTGCAGCCCTTTTGGGGTTTGAAAGTTTCCCAGACCTGGAGAAAATGCAGCAACAGAGAAGTGGGGCAGGAGCCGTAGGCAAAGTGTCAAGACAACATGATTCTATCACAAATTCATGACTTAAACCTGATCTTTCTAGACCTTCTCTTATCCACTGAAACCAGATGGGATTCCATGACATTTCTCCGAAAGTCATCTATCTATCATCCCAGCTTCCGGCCTCTTGCCCATCCCTACATAAGGGTGGTTGGCTGCCCAGGTTTGGATGCCTGCTTCAACTTTCTGTCTGTGTGACCTTGGGTATGTTGGCTGACCTCTCTGAGCCTCAGTTTCCTCATCTGTAAAATGTGGCTAATAATGGGAACACTGCTCAATACTCGAAAACCATAATGGGACTTCGGCTGACTGAACATGTTCTGGAAATCTGGGTATGCATTCATTTCAGTCTGAAACACAGTATCCTTGACACCATGGTGAATGAAACCCTCGCGGCTCCTTCCTGCCTCCCGCACATGAAAAAGCCCAGATTCCGAATCCCAGCAAGTTAACAACTGAGTCCTTCTCTTCTGAAGTTGAGATTAAAGAGAGGAGAGGAGCAAAAAAATAAAAGTGGCTGTGCTCTCTGCAGCTCGCAAGCCAAGACACACACCCCGGGCCGTGGAGCCCGCCATAAATCCATCTTTGGTGAGGGCTCTTCCCAGCTGGCGTGGGGGCCCTTTGGAATATGCGATATCCCCCCACAACTGGCTGTAATTACCAGCCAGATAATTACCCGGCCGACCCACTTCCCTCCAGTACCTCTCAGGCCCAGCAAGCAGGGATCAGCATAAGAGGGAGCGAAAAAAGAGGCTTCAGCCTTCCCGTGAGCCTCCTGGCCTCCTCCCTTGGCCAGCCTCCGGAGGGCCCTGCCAGAATCGCTCCCCCCGGGGACCGGCCGGGTTGCCGGCCCGAGTGTGCCAATGCCTTAAATTGTTTTATGTTTTTTTGTCTCTATGAATTAGAAGCCGTTCGGAGAAGGCCACCCACAGAACGGAGCGCAGTTCTCCTCTGTCCCAGATGGATGGGAGAGGATTGCCGCTGGTCTTTTCATCCTTTTTCTCCCCCCTTAAGAAAGTATGGACTTCTGTTGTCGTTTCCTGTGAAATGGCTGATGCATTTGGAGCCAGTGAGTTCTCACAGTGGGAAGGGTGTAAGGAGCACAGTCTTCTGGGGGTAGAGGGACCGTCCCCTCTGTTAACATCCTCACCAGGGCAGCTGAGACCTGGCCCAGAATCTCCTGCACAAGGACCTGGCTAAGGGCCACCTTTGGAAGCAAGGATGTGCTGGCTGCAGAACCTGGAGAGAGAGACGCAGGCTCAGATGGTGGCTGCACCACCTGAGCTCCTCCCAGATCCCCCACCACGTCACCTCAGGGGGCCTCTGTTTGGCCACCATTCCAATGGCTGGCGCAGCAGGTGGGTCCTGGAGGAACTAACCCGGGTGAGACCTCTGTGCCTTCCTCTCACCACCCGGACATGTCAGTCAGTCTCTGCACCCCGGGTTTTCCGCCTGCAGAACGGGTGGTATGAGGGCCCTGGCTCACGGGGTGTTGGGATTGCTGGCGGTGGTGTCTGGCATACCCTGGCGCCTCTGCGCACCCGGTATATGTCACCTAGAGTCCCAAGTTACATGGTTCCCCGAGCCTTGGTTTGCACAAGTTTAAAATGGGGATCCCTTAGGGAGTCGTGAGAACTAACCTAATCCCGTCTGCATGTAGCGAGCACCAACTGCAGAATGCATGTTCCTGGGTCAGAATGCGCCACGCAGTCTACACACATTGCCTTGCGGGATCTGGAGAGTAATCGGAGAGTTCGGCATTTTGGGATTAATTAAAAAAAAAAAAAAAAAACTGAGCCTCAGATCAAATAAAATCCTGGTTCAAACTTTCCCCAGGTGTGTGTCTCCGTAGCTGAGGACGTACCAGAGCTCACTGAGGCCTTCCTGCTTTGTCTGCCTTCTGCACTCACTGAAAACTGGTCTAATTGGGTTTCCGTGCCTCAGGGTGGGGACAGCCACAAGAGCAGAGGGCTTGTGAGCCGAAAGAACACCAAGCGAGCGTCGCACTCACCAGCTGTGCCTGAGCTCTACCTCAGGCTTGTGGAAATTTGTTGAAGGTGCATCAAGTTTCTGGGGTATATTGACTCCATGACAGAACTGTCAGCAGCACTGTCACCACCACCACCATCATCTCAGCCATCATCACCGCTACCTCCACCATGACCACCCCCTCCACCATCACCACCACCACCATCATCACCACCTCTACCATTATCATCTCCACCACCATCACCACCACCATCACCACCACCTCCACTATCACCACCACCACCTCTGACATTATCATCTCTTCCACCATCACTACCATCACCACCAACACCACCACCACCACCACCACCTCCATCACCACCACCTCTACCATTATCACCTCTACCACCATCATCACCACCATCACTACCATCATCACCACCATTTCCACCATTATCATCTCCACCACCACCACCACGTCTACCATTATCACCTCTACCATCATCATTACCACCATCATCACCATCACCATCATCACCACCATCACTACCATCATCACCACTACCATTAATTACTATCATCACCACCATCACCACCACTATCACCACCACTTCCACCACCACTTCCACCACCACCACCACCATCACCACCACCTCTACCATTATCACCTCTACCACCATCACTACCATCATCACCATCATCACTACCACCTCCACCACCACCACTACCATCACCACCACCACTACCATCACCACCACCAATACCATCACCACCACCACTACCATCACCACCGCCACTACCATCACCACCACCACTACCATCACCACCGCCACTACCATCACCACCACCTCTACCATTATCTCCACCACCTTCACTACCACCTCTACCATTATCATCTCCACCACCACCATCACCACCACCTCCACCTCAACCACCACCACCATCACTACTACCACCATTGTTACCTCTACTACCATCACTACCATCATCATCTCCACTACCATTACCATGACCACCACCACCACCTCCACCACTACCACTGCCATCACCATCACCATCATCACCACCACCTCCACATTATCATCTCCACCACCATCTCTACCACCATCACCACCATCATCACCACTACCATGACCACCCACAATTAGCACCACCTCCACCATTACCAGCTCCACCATCATCACCACCACCACCACCACCATCAGCACCATGACCACCACCATAATCAGCACCATCTTCACCATTATCACCTCCACCATCAGCACCACTACCACTACCATGATCATCACCACCATCACCATCACCCTCTCATGACCACTTTACCTTCAGCAAACCCACCATCAGTCCCACCATCTCCACAACTTCCACCTTCACCACCACTACCACTAATGTTATCTCCACTTCAGAGGGTCTTAGCTGAGAGAGATTCCAAACTTCAGACACAGGAAAGCATTTAGTTGAGAAGTACGGCGATCGGGTGTATCAGCAGAAGTCCTGAGATGAAACGGTGCATGACCCCATACACAGTCTCCCTAGGCACTGAGCTTTTCCTCAACAAACCCAGCTGCCTTTCTAGCCTCTGAAGCAGAGTTTCAGCTCAACCAGATGCAAGTTAAAAAGAAGGAGATAACAGATACTACTCAGAAGGATGGTCACAGCAGGATGTCCCCAGGAAGAACATGAGTCTTAGAGTCGGACAGACGTGATTTTGAATCCAGCTCTACCCAAAACAAGCTAAGAAACCCTGATCAAGAGCCAAACCCATTCTAAACGGTTCCCTCCAGGTGCTGAGTTGATTTCCCTAGAATCACAAAGCCCAGTGTGAGCACAAACAGGTGGTAAGAAAATGGAGAAAACTCAACATTTGATCCATCTTCCTCCCTCCCCGCATGGGGAAGAGCCTCCTGCTGTCCCTCCAGGGCTTTGCTAACTAGAGGTACAAAGAACCTGGGTAAAAGAGGCCAAAGCCACCCAGGGGAGATCAATCAGTGCCCTCCCCCACGAGTTTCCACCTGTCAATGGCAAACGGAAAAAGAAAAATGTTCGCACACTCCTCGTGTAGACGAGTATTCATATTCAGTGCCAAGGACGTTCTAGGATTCTGCGCTGCCGTCTGTATTGATGGGTATTAAAGGTTCTCTTTTGCAGTGACTCACCCCCCCCCCCGCACCCTGTCCCCTCCTTCCCCTGCGGGCTGGAAGGCTGCAGGCGATTGTTAGCCAGTGTGGGTCCTTCTGCTTCTAGAGGGTGGGCTCTTCCTCTGCTGGACCCCGGGACAGGGTCGGGATGGGTCACTGTTGATGCTGAGCCTGAGGAAG